AAAAAAAAAAAAAAAAAAAAAGAAAAAAAAAGTTGATAGAATTCTTTTAAAAATATAATTATCTCATTAACAAAATAATAATTTTCCTTCTTTTTTTTTTTTTTTTTTTTTTTTTATTATTTTTAATAGTTACAAATAAAAAAACAAAAATTATATTTTTTATACATTAAGAAAAATTAGGTTACATATAGTTTTTATAATATTCTAAAGTAACTATTAAAAATGAATATTTTTAAAAAAATGTGAATTATTTATAAATAGAACATCATTTAAAACATCTTCATTTATATATCCTTTTATTTTTTTTCATATACATATTTATATATACGTTAATTTATTTATTTCTTTATTCATCTTATTATTTTTGTAGTTGCTCGTTAAAATTATTAGAATGAGGATTGTTGTTAATACTTATAGAATTTAAAAGATTACTTGATAAATAATCAGTATTAATTGTGCTTGAATTAGATGTAGATCTTAATTTATCTATCATTTTTTTATTTGAATAATAATCATAATTATTTAAATCTTTTGTGTTAGTAGTAGACGTAGATATCGAAACCATTGCTGGATTGTTTTTTTTTAAATAGTAATCATATAAAATATCTTCATATTTATTAAAATTTTTATTTACCTTTTTTATATTATTTTTTTCTAATATATTTTCATTTAATGGATTATTCTCATTATTTAATAATTTTAAATTATAATAAGAATCTTTAAATTGCAATTGTGGATGTCTATTTACAATATTATCACACGAATTCTTTTCTCTTTCAATATTATCATAATTTTCTATTTTATTTATCATGTTTTTAAACGGAAAATTGTGCTTATTAAAAATTTCATATTCATTGTTATTGTTATTATAATAAAGGTATTCCTTATTTATATTATTTATTGTACCTTTTTTCTGATACTTTTTTAAATCATAATTTAATTCATAATTTAGAGATTCATTTGAATTTAAGAAATTTCCTTGTTCATTATTACGGTAATATTTTAATTTGGAATTATTATTTTCCATATATCCTTTATTTGCAATGTTTGAAAATGATTTGTTTTTATCTATTAATAGTTTTTTATCTGATATATTTAATTTGTCATTAGTTAAACATTTTTTACTATTTTCATCATTTCCTATCATTAGTAAATCTTTGTGTTCACTGTTAATTATTTCACTTCCTTTTTCCAAACTATCAGATTTTAAATTTAATTCTTTTTTTTCTTCTATCATATTGTGAATATTTTTATAATATTCTTCCTTTTTAACATCATTAATATCATTAGTATGATCTTTGTTATTAAGAGAACTATAATTATTTATTATAGTAAGCATAGTTTTTGTATTTAATTCACCTTCATTTTCTTCATTTGAATTTTTTACTAAATTAAAATTTTCATTTGTTACATTTTTTATATAATTATTATATAAATTCACATTAGAATTATTATAACACAATGTATTTTCTCCATGATTTGCTGTCTGATAAATATTCATATTTTTATATTCAATATTTCCATTTATATCATTCATATTTATATCATTCATATTTATATCATTCATATTTATATTATTCATATCATTCATTATTTTTTTCTTATTTTCTTTCATATAATTAATGTTCCCATTGATATCATCAAAATTATTTATATCTTCATATACTAAATTAAAATTATTATTTGTCATTGGGTTTATATTATTTTCATCATTACTTACTTTAATATGATTCAATTCATTACCTAAATTTATATTAGTGAAGTTCATACTTTCATTACTTAAAATATTTATATTATTTAATTTATTTGTATTACTTGCATTTTTTACTTCATTCACATTATTTATATTATTTAAATCATTTATATCATTTATATCATTTATATCATTTAAATTTCCTAAATTATTCAAATTGTTTAAACTGTGAACTCTTTTTATATGATTCATATTATTTGTGCTATTTATATCGTTTAATTCTTTTAAATTATTCATATCATTTAAATTATTCATATCATTTAAGTTATTCACATTACTTAAACTATTTACGTTATTTACATTATTCAAATTATTCACATTACTTAAGCTATTTACGTTATTTAGATTATTTACATTATTTAAATTATTTACATTATTTATATTATTTAAATTATTTACATTATTTATATTATTTAAATTATTTACATTATTTAAATTATCTACATTATTTACATCATTAATATTGTTTACATCATTTATATTATTTGCATTTTTTAAATTATTTATATTATTTAGGTTACTTATATTACTTAAGTTATTAATATCATTTAAAACATTTAAATTGTTTAAGTTATTAATATCATTTAAATTATTTACATTATTTATATTATTAATATTGTTTAAATTATTCATATCACTAATATTATTTAAATTGCTTAAATTATTCATATTATTTAAATTATTAATATTGCTTAAATCATTCATTCGAATAATGTGATTTATACCATTCATGTCATTTAATTCGTGTAAGTTAGTCATACCATTTATATCATTTACATTATTTAAATTATTTATATTATTTAAATTATTGATTCCATTTAAATTATTTATACTATTTATATTGTTTATTTCATTAAAATTATTAATACCATTTAAGTTATTAATGTCATTAAAATTATTAATATCATTGAAATTACTTATATCATTTATATTATTAATATTATGCAAGTTATTAATATCATTAAAATTATTAATATTATTTATATTATTGATATCATTTAAGTTATTAATATCATTAAAGGTATTGATATTGTTTAAATTATTTATATCATTTAAATTATTTATATCATTTAAATTATTTATATCATTTATATTATTTATATCATTTAAATTATTTATATCATTTAAATTATTTATATCATTTAAATTATTTATGTCATTTAAATTATTTGCATTATTTAAATTATTAACATCATTTAAATTGTCTATATGACTTAATTCGTTCACATTGTTTATCTGATTTACACTGTTTGTACTTTTTATAGAGTTTATAATATCTATCCTATTTGTATTATTGTAAATATTTGTTTTTACATTATCTTTACTATTATCCTTTTTATCAATATTGTAATAATAATTATTATTATACGAAACATTATAATTACATTGAGGATAATATGAATTAATCTCACATATATTAGAATTCATATCTTCTTTTTTTCCATCCATTTTACAATTTGAATCTTTTTCATTATAATATGGAAAATCACAAATGCTTTTATTTTGAAGAAACGGATTTGATAATTCTTTAACATAATTTTCTATATTTTCATTTTTATTAGTATTCCACCCAACTGCTAATATATGTAAAGAAAATAAATTGGCAAAATATTTTTGTTGAATTTCAAAATCTTTATGAGAATTTAACGGAACCTCAAAATATTCATAAAAAATTTGTGATTGATACTCGTAAGCTACTCTATATCCTCTAGGATTTTCAACAAATTCTACTGCACTATTAGGTAAAAAATTCATGTTAAATTTATCTTGCTTATGATAATTTTCATAAAAAGTATTTATTATTTTATTTTTGTCTTTCATATTTTTAAAATTCATTAAATACACATTTTTCTCATTTATATTATCATACATATTATTATATAAATCATTTCTATAATATATATTATTATTATTATTATTATCATTATTATTATTATTATTATTATTATCACTTGCATTATTACTAGATAAATTATTGGAATAAATTCCTTCCACTATCATATTATTTTCATCATTTATTTTATACAAATTATAGTTATTATATTCCATACTATTATTATCATTATTTGATTTATATGATCTATATGCTGATCTAGTTACATTTCTTTGATTATAACAATCATATGTATTTTTTTTATTTAAAATATCATATAAATAAATATTTTCATTATTTTTACTAACAAAAGATTCTTTTATATCCTCTTTTTCCTCATCTTCTCTTCTTTTATATTCCACATTATTCTCTTCACCATTTTCCCCATCATCGTCATTATCATCATCATCATCATCATTTTCATTTCCATCCTTTTTAATTTCACAGTTTTCATTAACAAAGCAATCATTTTTTTTTCTTCTATCATTTCTTGAAATATTATTTATTTTATCCTTTATCATATTATTTTCTTCTTTTTTTTGTACTCTCTTATTTTTTGTTATATTAATTTTGTAACACATGGAGTAATTATAAGACTCGTTAATTGTTTCATTATCCTTGATAGTTCTATTAGTTCTCCTTTTTTTTTTTTTTTCTACTTTATTGTTCATATATCTTAGCTTCCTCTCAATTTTATATTCCTTCTTTCGACTATTTTTTTTAAGAATATTTAAATTTTTCATATTGTTTTCTTCTATATCTTTTTTTCTATATTTATTTACATCAGTAATATTTTCTTTGTACAATCTCTTTTTTTGAAGTTCAATATTATTAGTGTTAATAAAATGATTATTTTTTAAAATATTAGAATTATCTGTATTATTATAATTAATTAAAGAGGAATTGTTGTTATATGCATAATAATTTTTATTTTTAAAATTATTCGCAACATTATTTATATTATTTTTTGAATACGAATTAGGATTTATATAATTAGAACAAAAATTTTCTTCACTTCTATATGGTAAATTGTTTTGTAAACTATTTTGTAAATCATTTTGTAAGTTATTTTCAATATTATAATTTATGTATTCAGAAGGATTATTACTTTTAGGCATAAAAGGATAATGAGAAGAATATTCATCATCATTAATATTATTGTTACAAAAGTTATCATAGTTTCCTGTAGATATATAATAACTATTTTTTAATTTAGAATCTATTTTATTATTTTTGTTATTCATTACATTTCTATCATTAAATGTATTAGGCATCTCACATTTTTTATCACTATTAGAAAACTTACTTTTATGTAAAAAAGTATCCAAATCTATATCGTTAGTATTTTTATTATTTCCTCTATTAGTCATTACACTTTTATCATTTTTATAAATATTTTTTGTTTTAGGAATTCTTATATTTCTAGGTTTCGAATAATTTTTTTTTTTATCAAAAAGCTCTTTTGCATTTATATCATAATTGTTTATTGAATAACCTTCATTACTATCTATAAACTTAATATTATTATCTGTAACAATGCTCATATTTTTCATATTATATTGATTATTAGATAAATTTTGATTTAATTCATTTTCACCATTACTACTTATAATATTATTATAATTGTTATTACTACTATTACTGTTTGTAATAGTAACGATATTATTTTCAATTTTGCTTTTTCTTAGATTTTCTTTAATTCCTTTATCTTTAGTTGTATTTTTTTCTGTTCTATTACTTTTTCCTTTATTCTTTCTTTTTACATTTTTTTTCATATATACATTAATTTTTACTACAGTTCTATCAGATCTAGAAAATCTAGTTCCAGTAGCTTTGTGTAATAATATTGGATTAAATACTCCTTTAATCATACTTTGAGCAAAATTATCAGCTCTTTTTTGAGCTTCATCATTCCCAACTTTTTTGCATGACCATCTTGCTTTCATTGGGACTCCGTTGTCAATCCATTCAACTCTCCATTCCCTTTCAATTCTATCTCTTATTAAAGATACCTTATAAACACCAATATTTTCAAAAACTCTCACTATAGGTGGCCCTTTATCTGGATATAATTGCTCAAAAGTTATTCCTGATTTCAATTTTTCAATTAATTCTTTCGCTCGTAATTTTGCCTTATCATTACCATATTTTTTATAAGATATTCTTTGCTCTCTTCTAATATCATTTTCATACCATTCCACTACTAAACATCTCTCAATTTTATCAATTAAAATTACTGGCTCTTTATTTATTTTAATATCTGATGAATCATTCTCTTTCCCTATTTCTCCAAAATTCTTTTCTTCTGAACTTTTTAAATTGTTATCATCTATTGTAAATGTAGAAGTACTTCTTTCCTTTGAATTTTCTTCATTTTTATTTTCTTCCCTTTTCTTATTATTATTATTATTATTATTATTATTATCGTTTAAGCACTTTATGTTATCATCTAGGATTAACGTTGCCGATAAATTATTTTTGTTAGAATCTTCATCTATTAAAGGTGTATCGATTAATTGTGTAGAACTTTTAACTAAATTGTAATTTTGCATTTATATTTAAATTAGATAAAATACTTAAAATATCTCATTTATTTATATCATAAATATGTATAAAACGGTGCATTTAGTTTTAATATAAAAAAAAAATAAATATTACACTTTGATTTTATTTTTTCATATATATATAAAAAAGAAAAAATTATTCTTATATATTGTTTTTTGTTCTTTTCGTAAGTAAATTTAAAATATCTTTTAATAAAATAAATTATTTTTTTAACGAAATACATATACTTCTAAATATTACAAATACTAAGAATTGAACATAATTAATATTATTAAGTTCTGAAAACAGAAAACAAAATATATAGGTAGAGATAAAACAAAATTCTTAAAGTAAATATTATATTTAAAATTATAATATAACGAAAAAACATCAATATATATACATTATTATAGAATACTATTATAAATAGAAAAAAGTTTAAAAATGTATCTTTATAAAATGGAAAAATTATGTAGTGTTTTATATTTAAGTAATATTAAAAAAAAAAAAAAAAAAGAAAAACGAAAAAAAAATAATACTAGAAATACGAAAAAATAACAACAAAATTATAGAAAAACAAAAACAAAAACAAAATAAAATAAACCCAGTTCAATAACTTAAAAGTATACATATATGCCTAGACTAGATATTTGCAAATTCTGTAGCACAAATCTACTTGCAAAAAAAAAAAAAAATAAATAAATAAATAAATAAATAAATTAGTTTTTAAGAAAGTTTTAACAAATTAGACACTAGAGACATCAAAAAAAAAAAATAAAAAAAAAAATAAAATAATGAAATATGTTTTAATCAATGCAAAGAAATATTGCCTTTTCTAGAAAATTAAGCCAAATAATATTTTTTAACAGAACAAAAAAAAAAAATATTAATTTTTTCCTTAAGCATATTTTAATATTGCAAAATTTAACGGAAATTTATTTATAAATGCATATAATAATATAATGCTTAAAAAAAATTGTAGCAAAACTTAAAAGTTTAAAAAAACTACTGTAAAAAACAAAACGAAATAAAAATAATTTTACACGTAAAAAATAAAGAAAACAAAAAAAAAAAAAAAAAAAAAATT